ATATATATATATATGAAGAGGATCTTCTATAGTAAGAAAGGTAGAAATTTTTACAAGAGAAATTTTTTTTGAAGGGTTATCGGATCACTAAAATGGAAATTATAGGTAGCAATAACCTCATGGACCCACTCAAAGCTAAAAACAATTTTTGACTTTATAGAGTCCTTAGAAGAATCACAAGGACTAGGGTTTGAGTCCTCGTGTTTTGGCGAAGGCTCTTTGGGATCACTAGTAGGGTGGCTCTCAAAGGAAGAAGATAAATCAAAAAAGAAGAGGACGAACCCTCAAAAGAAAAAGAAAAAGAATTGCTCATCTTTACCTTTTGAAGTAAGTGGAAGATTCTAAAAAGAAATAAGAAATTTCTCAATCTCGAAGTGATAATTTCATAAGAATGAAATCCTATTTATAGGAGTAGAAATTGGAGAAGAGTGAATGACACCAAAGGATAGAACTGTCAGATTTAAACTTGATCAACAGTTGGCAACATACTACTCTTTGTATGCTATGAAAAGGAAACGCCTCATTTTATTAGAAAAATGAAGGGACAAAATCCTTCATGATGAAAGTTTTAGTATTGACATTGTTAGATGTATTAATGAGACATAACTCTTATCGAGAAAAATCGAAAGGGCACATTATTAGACTTTTTAATTTATTTAATTGATAATAAAATCTTGAAAGCCTGAGATCATGTATACCAATATGGTTGAACCAAGAACTTCTCAAATTCTTGTTGAAGACTATTTAAGCATTTACTTTGAAAACATGTTAAGATTATTTGTTAAAGGTGATTAGATAATAATTGGGTATGTCATCTAGGCCTAAGCTCAATAATGGTATAGTATAAATAATGGTATTTTAAGATGAAAAAAAACTTTTGGATCACATTTATTACAAAATTTATTATGTCACTTTGACTGAGACTAAACATTTACTTAATCCTTGGAATGACTTTTGTAGGTACACTCCTTTTCTTTCTCAAATCAGTGAGGTCAAAGACCGATATCCCTTCTCAAGCAGATAAGACTGAAGACATCATGATGAGGACTACTAAATTGAAGACTCGAGAAGTGAATATCCAGAGTTTAATGGAGAAGGATAAAATTACTTTAGTACCCTTATGCAGGTATAGTTCTTATTACATAAAAGTTTATTGAATAATTAAGTTGTTTATCCAAACGGGACCTTAGTTTCCTAATAATCCGAAATTGAAGATGTTTAATTTCTTATGTTAAGTTTATTGTTTTAAAAATAATATTTCTTCTCTAAGAATCTTATCACATAGATTTTTCATAAAATTATTTCTATGGAAAGGTGAGAATCTAATTTTTTGAAGTTAAAATAAATTTTATTATTGTCTTTATTTTTTAATTTAATACGATAAAAAAATATTTATTCTCATGTGACATGTATTAATATTTTCTCAAAAATATTTATGATTAACCAAACACATTTTAACTAGTATTTTAGCCTTTATATTTCACAAGTTAAATATTTATTATATATAACTATATTTTTTGATAAATTATACATACAAATAAATATTATATTTTTAAAATTTATATAAATAAATATTTTTAAACATATAAACTATATTTTGATTTAAGATGAATAATTTATTAATAATTAATAATTTATTTTAAAAATATTAAAATTTATTTTAAAAATATTAAAATTATTAATAATTTATTTTAAAAATATTAAAATTTGGATTCATAAATAAATAAGTTAAAGAAATTTCTAAAATATTTGTATTGAATAATAACTCCCAATTAACATATAGGGGTTGATTAAGAATTATGCTTCCCTATATTCATGATCCTTGAAAATTAATGATTAATGGACATAAAAAAACTACAAAACTAACCCTGACAAGTTATTGATAGTTGACAATTTACATCGACAATACTTGAATATTAAACACTTGAAATAAATATAATAATAAGAGATATTTTTTTATATATATTTTGTGTGGACTATTTTATCTTGAGATTAATGGATACACACTAACAATATAAAATAATTTTATACTATCGATTAATAAAAAAATTATTATTTTATAATTATTTAATTATTTATTATAAAAATTAACAAATTTATTATACTTCATATTTTGGTTTTAAAAAAAATAGTATAAAACTGCTTTACATCTCAATGAAAGTAACAAAACTATTATCCTTTTTTTTTTCTGAGAACCCTAGTCCTCGAATTCTAGGAATCATTTCTGCTACTGTCCCTATTCCTAACATTTGATATTTCTAATTTAGCTTGGAATGGTTGACAGCAACGAAGACGCCATTGCCAAACTCACCTCCAACAGCTTACTGTAATAAAATCAACCTGATCTTTCTTCGAAATTCAAATTAATAACTCATTTTTAGCTTTAAGAAAGATTATTTAAAGGTACTCGTAGTAGTAGCAGAGCAACCTTTTACAGATAAATTTGTTTTGTTAGCTTAACGTAATAACTACTCATTTATATGTAGAAAAATATAAAGCAAATTGACTTTACAGGGCATTTCAGAACAAGGAGAATCTGTTGGTCCCACTAATAGAAAAAAACAGAACATATAGAAAATTGAATAAAGGTAATGTGTTATAATTTATAGTCTGAAAAAGACAGTGAGAGCAGCTGATTGAGTTGGAGGCAACTGATAATTTCTTAATGTTTCGTTGTACGATACAAACAATGAGAAAAGAAAATGCATATACTCTTATGTCAACTAGACTCCGAGGTGCATGGATTAAGTTCCACCAAGTGAAAAACCTGAAAAAAATACTATAGGCACATTTCAATCTGGCCGTACTAAGTCACTTTTGCTGCATGTCTCTATGTTCTCTACGTTAAGATCCCACTTGATGGAGGCACTTTGTCGGATCTACTCTGAGCTTCAACTGTTTGTGGCTGATGTTGCTGCTGCATCTGTAATCTAACTTGTGCAAGCAATGCCTTTATCTGAGTTCCTGTGAGGGTCTCATGCTCCAGAAGAGCATTGGCAAGTGCATGAAGCTCCTCGTTGTGAGTGGTTAGAATAGTTTTTGCATTGTTGTAAGCCCTCTCCAGCAATTCCTTCACCTCTTTCTCAATAATAAGTCTAGTCTTCGAGCTCATGCTCCTCCCATTATCATTGTAATTATGTGTGGCTAATCCAACTTCATTGCCCATACCATATTTGGTAACCATCTCCCTTGCCAACCTAGTTGCTTGCCTGAGATCTGAGGATGCACCAGAACTGACTTCATTTTCTCCAAAAATCAGCTCTTCAGCAACCCGGCCCCCCATGAAAACACCAAGCCGGGCAAGCATCTGTTTCCGGGAAATGCTGGTCTCATCCTCTTCGGGCAATTGAGTAACCATGCCGAGAGCGTTCCCTCGGGGTACTATAGTTGCCTTGTGAACAGGAAGGGCCCCATCAGTATGAATGGCCACAAGAGCATGACCACCCTCATGGAAAGCAGTCAACTTTCGTGAATCCTCGGATATGACAGCTGACTTGCGTTCACTTCCCATGATGATCTTGTCTTTTGCATGCTCTAGATCAGCCATGCTCACAGCTTTAGCACCATCCATTGCAGCCTTGATAGCAGCAATGTTAATCAAGTTTGCAAGCTCAGCACCAGAGAATCCAGATGTTCCTCGAGCAATGATCATTAGATCAACATCATCAGCCTTCAGAACCTGTATTTGATTCAAGACAAAAATCCAGCATAACAAGTAGGTAACACTGCTCCCACAATGTTATAATAAGATAATGGTTATATATGTAATGGATAAAAAAAATACCATCTTATGTAAACTTCAAAATAAACGAGTGTGAGCTCATACATAAAAGTATCCCATGGATAGCCGATCATAGCCCAAAGAAAAAACCATAAAACAGCAATATTTTGCACCAATAACTGACAGCACTAACAACGTCTCTTTGAAACAAGGAATCATATCTATCCAATCCGATTTATCAAATACGATACATTCTGGTAATCTCACTAAAACCGGTTTCAAAATTTGAATGTAAATGATACTCAAATTAGGTCAAAATGAAATGAAATTTTACACATGCTTTTCTTTTTTATTCACATGCCACGGTTTTAGCCACTAAATTTGAATTTCAAATTTTCCAAACAAAATTTTCAGCAACCAAAATGATATTCAAAAATCACTCACAGAATTAGGCACAAAAATATTGAAGACACTTTGTATCAAAGGAAACCTAAAAACTAAGAAAACTACTAATGATCTAATAGTAGTTTATGAACTCAAATCAAACCAAAATTATGGAGCACACTAAACCAAATTGATTCGGCCAAATCCAGAAGAAGAAAAAATCAAACACAATTAATACAAAAAGAGTGAAACAAGCATAGCTAGGAATTAAGAACAATCAAAGAGCTACACATGACACTAGACATGGATTCAAAAATTAAAAGACTCAAAAAACACATATGACCAAAAATTTTCAAGTAAGACTCAAGGAAACAAAAAGTTCACAAGCTGAATTTTCCTAGAAGCATAATTTGTGGAGCATGATTCATGGAAAGAAATTAAGACAAGAAGCATATATGAATCATTCAAGCAATCCGAAAGCTAGATCCATCAATTTTTAGGCAAGAATTAGATCTAGGAAAGAATCAACTCAAAAATGACATAGACACAATTATTGCATATGGATCAAACAATTCAATCAAAAGACAAGAAACTTATCTCTTGATGACCGAAGCTCTAGATACCACTTGATGAGGTTCTTCTTGAAGAAAACCTCGAGGAATGCTCTTCAACCTCTTCTCGGATCCTTGGAAGGATGGCAAGGATTGGAAGCTCCAAGAAGAAACAAGTGTAGCCAAGTATAACCTAGCTATCTCGGATAGAAAGTGATGATGCCTAACTCTACAAGGAGAGGATCTCAAGTAGGGTAGAGATTAGGCTAAGGGAGACTTTCGGAGGAGAGATTTCAAGAGTAGAATTCTCATTCAATTAATTCCAAAAGTGGTACAATTCTCGGCCAAGGATGAATTTATAGGCAAAATTAGGTTAAGGGTGCACGTTGGGTTAACCTAATTTGTCATTCAAATTCTAGAACCTATCTAGGATTTTTCCTTCTTGAACTAGCCTAATCAATTCCTTTGTCCATCTAAATTGTCTATTAATCTATTCTACTCTTGTCTTGGTTATCTCTATCTTGCCTTGGTTGTTTGTACCTAACATTGGACTCAAAGTGTGACCTAGTTTCGACCTCCCCACCCCCCCATGTGCACTCATTTGGATGTAATTTGGTATCCATTTGAGTTGCATTTCGGTCACACCATGTACATGTGTGCACATGGCCGAAATGCATACCAAATGCTATACTAATTACATGCAAATGAAGATGCACATGCAAACCTAAATTAACCCTAAATTCACATGACCATGAAATGAAAATCCTAGTCTAAGTGGCCGAAATACAAGGCCCAAAATGCAATACAAGCCCAAAGGCCCAAACCTACACTACTTCTAATCTACTTGGGCTTGAGTCAAAGCCCAACTGAAAAGTATGATGGGCTTTTCTTGAGCATGGGCCCACTCTTCTTGAATCATCTTGACCATAGCCCTAGTAGTTGGGCCCTTGGCCCATGGGCTTCCTCCATCACTTGTTGATCTTTAAATTTTGATATTGTTCAATGACTGATTATCACTTAAATGATGTGATATTTATTGATATGACATATTGTGATCAACATTAAAAAATAGAATATAAAAGATCTTCATTTATATCTCTTTTAATAAGTGATTGATATTTATTTTATTAATAAATATTTTTTTAAAAAAAAATTATGTCTAGATGTCATATTACTAAAAATCAGAGAATTTAAGAATGAGTAACCGTTAAAACTTCATGATTAACGAATATCAATTTGATTTAAGAACTAAAATTTCGTATTTTAAAAATTAGAATGACTAATTATCTCTATTTTAAAATAGAGAAATCAAAAGCCTAATTTAACATTTAAAAATTTAAAAATTTATTGTATTGATATGGGAATTCATTTGGATTTAGAAAAAAAAATCTTTAAAAGAAACCTTAATAATTATACATTATCTAACGATGAAAAAAGAAAAATAGATAAATAAATATAAACGTACTATCCGTACTTCGCAGCCGGGCTCCGAACTCGGGTTATCAACGCGGGGCGACCCCGGACAACTAGTTGTCCGGTGTCAGCCCGGTCTGAGCAAATCACAACTGAAACCCGGGATCCCGCACCAGACGGGCTCCCTCATTTAATTATATCACAACATATCCTATCTCAGGCCCAAGGCCCAAGACACACCTAAATCACTTCAAGGTAACAACCAAGACAAGATAGAGATAACCAAGACAAGAGTAGAATAGATTAATAGACAATTTAGATGGACAAAGGAATTGATTAGGCTAGTTCAAGAAGGAAAAATCCTAGATAGGTTCTAGAATTTGAATGACAAATCAAAAACACTCAAAATTTGCAAGCTGAAAATGTATGGTACTAAAACTACACAATAGCAAACCGAGAAGCACAAATCAAGTTAATACAATCTCCTTTTTGGCTTTTAACTTGAAAATTAGGTTTGAATATTTTTTTTTATCAAATTTCTTTTGAATTTTCGTTTGAACTTTTGTTCTATATTTTTTTTTATTTAGGAGATGCCTTTTTCTTCTTTTGAATTTTGAATACAAGCACTCTCGGTCACTTCTTTTTCAAAGCACTAAAACCGGTTTCAAAATTTGAATGTAAATGATACTCAAATTAGGTCAAAATGAAATGAAATTTTACACATGCTTTTCTTTTTTATTCACATGCCACGGTTTTAGCCACTAAATTTGAATTTCAAATTTTCCAAACAAAATTTTCAGCAACCAAAATGATATTCAAAAATCACTCACAGAATTAGGCACAAAAATATTGAAGACACTTTGTATCAAAGGAAACCTAAAAACTAAGAAAACTACTAATGATCTAATAGTAGTTTATGAACTCAAATCAAACCAAAATTATGGAGCACACTAAACCAAATTGATTCGGCCAAATCCAGAAGAAGAAAAAATCAAACACAATTAATACAAAAAGAGTGAAACAAGCATAGCTAGGAATTAAGAACAATCAAAGAGCTACACATGACACTAGACATGGATTCAAAAATTAAAAGACTCAAAAAACACATATGACCAAAAATTTTCAAGTAAGACTCAAGGAAACAAAAAGTTGAATCCATCTAGCTCAACCAGTAACTGATTTAATGTCATCCTCATGTACATTTGGTCCTCCCGGCTTCCTCCAATAGCATCAATCTCATCAATGAAAATTATAGAAGGTGATCGCTTCTTTGCAGCAGCAAAAAGATCCACTCAAAAAACACATATGACCAAAAATTTTCAAGTAAGACTCAAGGAAACAAAAAGTTCACAAGCTGAATTTTCCTAGAAGCATAATTTGTGGAGCATGATTCATGGAAAGAAATTAAGACAAGAAGCATATATGAATCATTCAAGCAATCCGAAAGCTAGATCCATCAATTTTTAGGCAAGAATTAGATCTAGGAAAGAATCAACTCAAAAATGACATAGACACAATTATTGCATATGGATCAAACAATTCAATCAAAAGACAAGAAACTTATCTCTTGATGACCGAAGCTCTAGATACCACTTGATGAGGTTCTTCTTGAAGAAAACCTCGAGGAATGCTCTTCAACCTCTTCTCGGATCCTTGGAAGGATGGCAAGGATTGGAAGCTCCAAGAAGAAACAAGTGTAGCCAAGTATAACCTAGCTATCTCGGATAGAAAGTGATGATGCCTAACTCTACAAGGAGAGGATCTCAAGTAGGGTAGAGATTAGGCTAAGGGAGACTTTCGGAGGAGAGATTTCAAGAGTAGAATTCTCATTCAATTAATTCCAAAAGTGGTACAATTCTCGGCCAAGGATGAATTTATAGGCAAAATTAGGTTAAGGGTGCACGTTGGGTTAACCTAAGGTTAAGTGAAACCATGGTATGGTTTACTTAAC